CTTCCTTCACTGCAAATCCTTCCTGTAAAAAGAGAAGAAAAAAACAGGAGGGTAAATGAGAGGCAGTGATGGAGGGGAGCAAAATCTCTCAGAGGAGAAGGGCCCATTAAGCAAGGATCACCCCCCCACCCACCTTTTTTCTTTCTCCTAAGAATGCTCCCAGAGATGGAAAGAGATGAAAGAAGTGAAGAAAAAAGCTGCTCCCTTTACTTTCTAAAGATAGATTTCTCCTTCGGTCTGAGAGGGAGGCTAACAGGGAGGCAGGTAGTGGATTGGATGGAAGGAGAGGGAGAACCGAAGGTGGAGGGCAGGTTGTTTCAAACACAAAAACAGATGAAAGAACTCCTCTTTTTTTGGAAAACAGACATTTTATGCAGAGCACACAAACCGAACACCCAACATGGACCAGAGTGGTGGAGAGAAACCCTGATTTCCAATGAAATCATTGTTGCAAACACTTTTTACACTACAATAGTCCTTCGTTTATCACAGGGATTCCAGACACCCTCGCAATAAGTGAAAAACTGCAAAGTAGGAACGCTATATTTATTTTAACATTTATATTTATTTTAAAGCTTCATAAACCTTTCCCACACTCTTGCAATGTTATGAACTCTTAACCCTGTGTAATTTTAATATTCCGTATGTACTGTACAGTACTGCAAATCGCTAGCCTTGATCTGGTTCTGGTCCGGTTCTGATCAGCTCTGTGCAGCCGTTGAGCACCAAGATGCTTCTAGAGAGAGCCGGACCTTCGGATAGCCAGCACAAAACTACACAATGGTACCGATCAAGTCCAAATAATCCAGAGGGATCCGGATGAAAAGAATCCCGGTGAGCTCCAGAGAAAACACCGGACCTCTAAGTAACGCCTCCCCGCTCGAGAGGCGTCATGGGCCGGCAAGCAGCTCTCAGATTAACCGATGAGGCTGGAAGTCCGGTTCTGGTCCAATTCTCGGTCGGTTCCGTACGGCTCTCTGCATCCACTGAGCGCCGAAGTCACTTCAAATAAGGACCGAACTTTTTCGGATCGGATCTAAACTTTCCCTCCATTTCAGCAGAAAGCAGCAGCCGGAAGCACTGTTGGCTTCTGGGTAATGTAGTTCTTTTGACTGGCGATACAATATAGGCTTATTGAGAGAAAAATACAAAATGGCGATGCCTGTCTGAAGTATGTTTTTCATTAACTTTTTACTGTACTGTATCCCATACTGTCCCAATCACATAGGTAATGTTAAAGTGTCAATAGTGTGTTGTGTACAATCTTTTTTGTGTGTGTCATGTACAAGCTTACTTTGAGAAACTGCGAAAGAGAGTGTCCGCAAAAGTCAAATCACGTAGTAGCGAGGGACGACTGTACAGATATTCTTAATATTGACTGTCTTCATCACGCTGTGTCCCATAAATTGCAGGGGTTTTTTTTGCTTTAGTCAACAAGTATTTTACTTATTTTGTGCTTGCATATCCATTTTTGTCCTCCCTAGCCCTTCTTTCTTCAGTTTCAATTGACTTTGTGTATGATTTACACATTATGTGACTTAGTCCCGCAGCCCTGTGCCATAACCTAATCAATGTGGGCCAAAATTCAAATTGAGAAATGATATATGGCTGTATTTATGTTGTGCTACCCATGCACTTTTTCTGTTTTCATTCTCCCCTACTCTATCAAACTTTTTGCAAGATTTGGAAAACGTTTCACAGACAGCTTTTAAATCAGCCTCCATCCCTCTCGTCCCTCCCCGTCCTCCATCACAGACCACTTTGAAGCCCTTTAATATTTCTAATTAGTTAATGGAGCTGATTGCATTCATAAAACCCTGCAGTAAGCATTTCTAGACCCGCAAGTCATCTCTATTTTTTTTATTTCCTCCTCCTGTGTTTCCTGGAGAAATATTATCAGTGCAAGCACTCTAACAGGTCCTCAGGCCCCCGCTGGAAAGACGAGCGGTGGCAAAGAGCCATCCCCGCCGCTGCCTGTATAAAAAGAGCTTTATTTTATTTTTCTCTTTACTAATTGAAGTAAGGAGAAAAAATGGGGCTACAGGGAGTTTTAATCTTCTCTCAGATCTGTGTGATAATTCTTCCCAGGGTTTTAGCCTGAGGGCTTTAAGCCAGCATCATTAGAAAGTGTTCAACGGTCATCCAAAGGAGGCCTGAGCTCCTTTTATCCATCCCTTTTTTATGCCTTCTTTCTGTAAGCGATTTAATGTTTTGTCGAGACCTAGGGTGGTTTTATTGGACAGTGGCAACAGGAGATTAGAGCCCTGAAGATGATATGTTTACATCACAAAGACAGAATAAACTTTAGAGCCACGTTTAAAGCCAGTTTAGTATTCCTTGAAGGGATGAATGTCACCGGCAGAGTTTTAGACCAAAAATCATATTCTGTTAAGAAATGACTGAGTTGCTGCTGTTTTGGTCAAACCTGGAGAAAAAAATTATATACAATCTCATGTAGTAATATCAAGGTTCAAGGTTATTGTCATTTGCATCACATGTGGTGAGGTGGAACGAAACTGTGTACTCAAGGTCCCAGTTACACCCAAAAATAGCAACAGTATAAAGTATTATATAGAAGTAGTACACAAGGATCTAAGATATACGCTAAACAACAATACAGTAATGTAATATTGTACTGTGTATTAAACAGAAACCTGAACATGAGTCTGTTGTGAGCAGACAGGTATGAATATAGCAGCTTATGGGTAAGAAATCAGCAGCATGGATAATCAGCAGCGCGGATAAAGTGACAAATCTCCAATTAAAATGTCATTACAGGGATTTTCCTGGTTAGAGATTCATGAGTCTAACAGCCTCAGGGTAGAAGCTGTTCCTCAGACTAGTGGCTCTACTTTTAATGCTCCTCAACCTCCTTCCTGAGGGGAGTGGGGCAAAAAGTGTGTGTGCTGGGTGAGTGGGGTCCTTCATGATGCAGGTGGCCCTCTTCCTGCATCTGGAGGTGTAGATGTCTGTGATGGTAGGGAGCCTGACTCCAACAGTCTTCTGTGCAGCCTTCACCACTCTCTGCAGAGCTTTTCTTTCTGCAGCTGTGCAGCCTCCATGCCACACGTTGATGCTGGAGCACAGGATGCTCTTCACTGCACAACTGTAGAAGGAGGTGAGGACTGAGCTTCCATATGAGTCACATTCAGCTACAGTCACGTCAAATTTTAGCACATTATTTGTAAAATTCGCTGAATTATAGCTACTTTTATATTCTTTATGTGTGGGGCCATCGAATTTGATTTTCTTCAAAAAAGTTACTTCTTTTAGATGTACATCCATAGTCATCTAGATTTTATTATTTGGCCATAATCTAGAACGGATCGTGTCCTAAATAGGACATGAGCAATAGCTGAAGTTGAGCTTAATTCAAGCTGGCACCAGTTTAAACTCTAATTTAAAGCAGAACGGGATCATTAAACTTCTCGTCCATCCATCTCTGAGTTCAGTCACGGGCCTCACAGTGCTGCTATATTAGCTTTTAGCACTTTTCTGTCTTTGTAGGGGGAAACATATATTTATTGCCATTTTTATACAGGCAATGCATTCTTGAAATGGTCATAAGAAGAGCTGATATTCTTGCAGAATTATTGTCTCAGCAGTGAGACAATTTGCAGAGTTTCAGAGCATTGCAGTGCAGGGTGCACGAGTTGGACACATTTCACAACTTCATTCTCGTTTCTGCTGACCTGCAAGTTACGTTCAACTTGTTTCTTCGCATTAAAAACACCTGCTCCTGTTGTTTTCATCACACTGTAGGTAAAATACAGATGGCGTTCTACATCATGTTTTCTCTCCTGCATCCTCCTCCTCACTGTTGTGAAGTGCACAACGTGCAGATGAATTTGTTTCTCCTGAATACCTCTGCAGCTTTTGTGTGAAAATAGTTTGACTTTCATTTTACTTGCTAGTTTCTTCTATTTTCTTTTAACTAGCACTTTGAGTATTTTAATAATATGACAGAAAATTGATAAATTGATCCAAGTTCAGCACTCCTCAATCAACTGAGAGTGTTAATCTGAATCAGTGTTGGATGTTTTTAATTTTAGGGTTTTTTTTAGGTTCTTCTATGTCTTTTTTTCTTTAGTCAGAGTTGTGTCACTAAAATAATTGCCTCCTGTTTCATTTAAATGTTTTATTATGCATTATTTACAGCTTTAGGAAAGTTTGAAGGCACTTTATTCGAGGTATGCTGTATTATGAAATTGTCTCGTGGATGAATGACCTTATCTAACTGAGGAAATGAGACTCTGATCTTTTCCCTACACAAACTAAATTAAGTTTTCACCTCTTATCTTCTGAATATCTATTACAGTTCCACATTATAAAGTGCTTTCAGTTCCCTTGCTCAATAAATGATTATCAGCTGCCCAGATATTGCTCCCCTGTTTTTTCTCTGTGCATTATAATGTCAATTTCCCTGAATCAAACTGAAGGAGAAATGAGCCTCCAAACCTTTCTAAGTCTTGCACTCCGGCCTGCCTTAGAAATTTGAAATGTGGTATTTTAGCGTTTTGAATTTCATGGTCTAAAAAGCAAATAGGTTGTGATGTATGCGGAGGTAATAAAAGTAATATTTTTCTACAAAAATGGTTTGGTGTCTTATTTTTTTTCCTCAGCTCAGTTTTCACTTATCTCCCTTTCTCTTCACTCCCACGCTTTCAGTCTGACTTTCTTTTCATTTAAAAGCAAATAAAGCGAGCCCCGATGCTTATCACATAATGAAAGCTGCCAGCTTCATGCAGGTCTGGCTGAAAAGTAGACCAGCGCTGCTGTTATTTTCCCTCGATGGACTGAACGCAGTGGTTTAGAGGAGATCCCGTGTTTGATCTCTGTAGAAAATTTCAAACAAGATCGCTCACGTTTTGAGCGGATTGTGCGTTGTGTGTTTTCCACCTACAACATTTCAGATGTTATCGCAGCTTGATGCAGAGCTCTGAGCATCAAGTGGATGGTGGAGATTAATGCGGCTCGTTCTCTCTTTCTCTCTGTGACAGATCGGAAAGCTGCGGACTTCGGGAACGATCCTGCGTTCAATCACAAGCAGCACATCAATGGAGGTGAGGTCCTCTCCTCTGCTTTCAGCCCGAGGACACGCTCGCTGCCTCGCCCCGAAGACAAGTCAAATCACAGACATGCCTGTGGCAACAGTGACAGACAACCTGAGCTGTGCACAAGTTCATGTCAGAGTGTTAAACAGAATTTAAAAGTTTGTTTCGAAACACTTTTGGTACCACTTTACAATAAGATATATAGATTTCTAATAAGTAGTTCATAGATATGTTATTAATTCCTCTATAAACCCTTTTAAATCATTAATAACTGCTTATTATGCATTAATTAAGGGTGACAGGGAGACAAAACTGACCAGTTTTTTGCCATAGTGAGCCAAATCTGTTCACCTATATATTTCATCTAGAGTTGTTATATTAATAAGTTACTACCTTGTAAGCACAATAAGTATTTGTAAACCTATTTCTTTAGCATATAATATTGTACTTTATCACTGCATTATAAGTATCTACAGCTAATATCCTAAAAAAAATAGGTTTACAAACACTTGTGCTTACAAGGTAGTAACTTACTCTGAAATGTTAAATGTATCAAATCTAGAGTCAGTTTTGTCTCCCTGTCACCCTTAATTAATGCATAATAAACAATTATAAATGACTTATAAAGTGTTTATAGAGGAATTAATGTATCTATAAACTATTTATTAGCCATCTATCAGGGGAGCCTTATTGCAAAGGGGTACCTTTTTTTATTTAAATAAAGTGAGACAGACCACTCACATACGTCTGTAACCATTTACCAGATTGTTATATTTCTGGTTTATTGCAGCTCCTTGACATGCACAAGACAAACATCAGGGTTTACTTCAACTTCAAGTTAATTTTATTGTCATTTCCATCACATGTGGTACATGAGGTGGAACAAAATTATGTACTCAGGGTCCCAGTTACACCCAAAAATAGCAAAAATATAAAGTATTAAAAGAAATATTATATAAGGATCTAAGACATACACTAAGACATAGGCTAAACGAACGGCAAACGGTACGCTAAAAGATCTAAGATATACGCTTAACACTGATAATGTACAACAATATGGCGTAACAACAGCAGCCCGAACATGAGTCTGTGGTGAGTAGATGGGTATGAATGAATACAGCAGCATGAGATCAGCAGCATGGATAATCAGCAGCACAGATGTCACATTTCACTAAATGAAGTGGCGTTACAGTGATTTTTTTTTTTCCTCGACTCGAAGCATTTGTTTACATCCAGTTTGGGATGTTCCTGTTTTAAGTTGTTCTTCCATTAAACTCTGAAAACGTTGCATTAGCAAGGTTGCCCCCCCCCCCCAAAAATGAGTACACTAAATCCCAAAACAGACATATTACCTTTCATTTCATGATGTGTCTAAAGTAGCTTTAAGATTATACATTAACTACATTTTATAACTTCTAATTAGAAATGATGTGAATCAGTATATTTCCTTGAGGTTAATCTCAGTTAATTCCAAATTTATCAACGACGAAGCCTCGTCCAGGGTCTCTTGGTTTGACTTTTCAACATAAATTAACATCACAGTTCTTCATGTGTTTTAATCCATGTGATATAAACGATAAGGTGCAATGTCCAAAAAAACAGAAGGCAGGATTGTTAAAGACAGGAAAGGTGAACATTTAAAGGTGTGGTTAAAGATATCAGGGTCCACATTTGAAGTATTTTTGTTGATTTGTTTTTGTAGTTGTTATTAAGTTATTTTGTTGCTATTACCAAATCTAATCAAAATATTATCAAAAGAAAAAAAATTCAAAATAAAAACTCCAATAAAAAGGTTTTAGCAGCCACTCCAAGCCCTGGGTAAAAGGATACAATATGGAAGTACAATAGCTTTTTGTGCTGTTGTTGTTTTTGTTTATTTGTCTTCTGTTAATCCAGTCACTCAGAACTCTGATGTTATTTAATGTAGATGTATGAAAAAGTGACATGCGGAGAAAGACAACGACTAAACCACTCCCAGATACAACCTTTGCCACTGAAAAAAACACTGCACCACTGCTCTGACATGTTAAATCTTCAAGACAAGGTTCAGCAAACAAATTCAGTTCCCACGCCTTTTTCTTTCCATCTCTTCTATTAGGTGTGGTCTGCACCAACAGCTCAGCTGTATCATTAAAAAAAGAAATGTATATACTGTAAATCTGTTCAGAACTACAGGGAGTGACCCACCTCAGAGCTGATACAGACACAAATGAGTCCAATTATATCCATAAATCACATGAAATATATTTTATTATTCACTTTGGGCTCTGTACTCGGGCTTTTTTTTTGTGCACAGTGAATGGTGTTAAAATGTGAAGCTTGTAATGAGAGCTAACAGCAGTGACACCAAAGTTACTTTTTTTCTTATTTTTGCCTGAAGGCAGCCACTGCAATGTGTACCCCCAAAAATTTTATATCAAAATGACCAGTTCTGCACTATGATGTGTGCTATTACTTTTATTGGCGTTTCAAATTACCATGGCAACATAATTTGCAAACAACGATGCCATTTTTCTCATTGAAACAAACTATAAATCAGCCATTTTTAGAGATATTGACCTGAAATTTGGTGTGGTAGCTGAAAGCAATGCCCCATAAATACTGAATTAAAAAAAAAATTAAAGATGGCCACCAAAGCTACATTTAAATGGCTTTAACTCAGCTATTTTTACACAAACAGAACTGGAATTTGGTGTAGTTATAGCTGAGAACGTCCCCCATCACAAACTGGATCTGAATCAAAAATTCAAGATGACCACCATAGCTTAAAAGCAAAGAATACTATATGTCATTGATTTTTACCACATTGAGCTGAAATTGGATATGAACCCCAAAACATAGTACTGCCAAACCAAAAATTTTAAATGGCCGCAATGTGGCGGTCCCCGTCAAGGTTTCTCCAGGAACTTTCTCATTACCTT